TAAAAGAAGTTCCTGCCAACGAGCATGTTTGCTTTATAGTTTTAGTTGGGACATAATATGACTAACCGCAGTGTTCTCCGTCTTCACAATAAATGGAGACCCAAGCAAATAGTGACGCCATCCCCTAATGCGCTGAGTAATGACGTTTTGCTTGATTCAGCTTTCGGCTCTCATATGCTTTCGGATGTCCTTCTTGCGTAAGAACTCCACCAAGTACAAAGTCTGAAGTATCGGTATGCACTTCAAATGGTTTAGCCATATCCGGCAAGGCTAACACCGGGTTCATCCACATCGAGTTCTTCAACTTTTCGAAAATATTTTGGCATGTCTCAATCTTTATTTATCCTTCTTTGTGAATTCGGTAAGTGGCGATGCAATTTCTGAGTACCCTTTCACAAATCTTCGATAGTAATTGCATAACCCAAGAAATGAACTCATATCATGGATATTTTTTGTTGGTTGCAAATCTTTGATGGCTGTAACCTTCTTCGAATCCATGCGTATTTTGCCTTGTAGCCAATTGAAGTTGATGACGTCTGAGAAAATGAGCATTTAGACAGTTTGGCATAGGTTCATTCCTCATAGACGATTGAAAACTTGTCTTACATGTTGCACATGTTCCTCCAATGTCTCGCTATAGATAACTATGTTGTCCAGGTACACCACTACAAAATCATCCAGGAAATCGTGAAATACCTGATTCATCATCATAAAAAACATTGTGGAGCATTTGTTAAGCCAAAAGGCATCACTTTAAATTCAAAAGATCCATATCTTGTTACCACTGTAGTCTTTACTTCATCTCCCTCCTTGATCCGAACTTGCTAGTATCCGGATCTGAGATCAATATTTGTATAGTATCTCGCCCGACTCAGTCGGTTGAAGCAATCAACGATTAACAGAATATGACAACTATTCTTTACAGTGATCTTGTTCAAAGCTCGATAGTTGTAGCACATTCTGAGAGAACCATCGGCCTTTTTCTGGAAGAATATGGAGCTCTATATGGTGATTTCACAGTCACGATAATCTCACTTTCCAACATTTATACCAGTTGTTTTCGATACTCTTCAAACTCTAGCTGAGACATATGGTAGGGTGCCCTGGCAGGGGGTTGGCACCTGGAATAAGTTTAATCTCGTGATCAATCACCATCCTTGGTGGCAATTTCTTTGGTAACTCGTCGGCATAATTTCCTCAAATTCCTTAATCAACCTTTTGACAGGTTTTGGAATAGGACTAGTCGCCTCTTCGATCTCCTATAATCGAAGAGTACACAAAAATGAAGGTTCATTCCTTTTGAAACCCTTACCAAATTGCATGGTTGAGATACTTTTCTCACCCATCTTCCCAGCTTGTATAGTAATGACGCACCGTTTCTACCCATCATCATTAATGAATCGAAATATGGGAGCACTGCTGTCTTAGTATCCCGAAGAAATTCCAATCCCAAAAAAGCTTGAAATCATCCATCTGAACTGCAGAAAAGTTTATCATTCCCTCGAAAGGACCTGCTTTGAGCAACACAGATTTCGCTAATCCAACTATTGGTTGAGCAGCGGAGTTGATTGTTTTGACCTTCCACTACCTTTCTCTAGAATAAGTCCGAGTCACTCCACTTCGGTACTTGGGAGGTAGTTGTGGGTAGCATACGTATCTACCATGGCCCCGATTGGCTTTCTGTTGATCTTCACATCAATGTACATTAGACCTTTGGCCATAAAAATGCGAGCCTTTTATTCTTCCATCTTTGCCTCTTTCAAGGAAACATCATCATTTTCAGTAGCTCGGTGCGATAGTGTATTGCACCGATGCGAAAATGCACCAGCTGCATCCCCATCCTCTTCAGAGTCGGTCTCACCGTGACAGCTAGCTTGTGGAATATCTTGCTTTGCACTCATTCCCCTATCCACTAGTTGACAATAGGCATTCAACATCCGTTTTTAAGGGCAATCTGCCACTCGATGAGGTTCTTCACATAAAAAAAAAACATCAATTTAGGAATGGCATCAGATCTTCTCTATATTGCTTTTCCTTTATTCCAATTGTTGCTGCTATCGTTATAGTTTCCTTGACGGCTGATTTGATAATTTCCTTGAAAGTTACTCTGACGGGTGCCTTGATAGGCTTCTCCCTTATTATTAAAGTAACGTTCTCCCCATTTGAGTTAGAGTTGAGTCTATAAAGTTTGTTTCCAGCTCCAATAGCTTGACTATTCCCTGAATGTCGATCTTTTATCGACTCGGGTTGATAGTCATTTAAACATTCGCCGGCTCCCGTTGCCACGCTCAAATCAGTAACTTTCTGTCTTTGAAATTCCGCGCATGTCCACAGTTTCAACCCTTCCATGAAGGTGAATAGCTTATCCTTTTTCGACATGTCTTGAATATTCAGCATATGCCCTGAAAAGGTTTTCACATACTTCCTGATGGAGCTTGCATGTTTCAGTTCTCGTAGTGCCTGACATTCTACATTTTCTGGGAAAAACTGAGATCTGATCGCTTCCCTGAGGAGATTACAATAATCTATTTAGACCCCGTCGGCCTGAATATCAGTATNCCGTCGGCCTGAATATGAGTTTACTTTGTCCGCCAGCATAATTTTGCATGTCCACCAAGATACATGGTAGTCGGTGTAACCTTTCTTGTTTCATCTTCGATCGAAGCCGCAAGAAATTATTATTCAATATCAAACAAAAAGTTTTCAACTTCTTTTGCAGTGCGTGCCCCTCCGTAGGTACACGATTCTGAAATTCTGAGTCAAGAAACATGCTCTTGTGCGGGGGCCTGCCCATTGCCAACTGCATGTTGAAGTACTAGTAATTGAGCTCTCAACGCTTCCATTTCATCCTGCAGATCAGGCAGGATATCAATAGCTTCAATCATTGTTGTGCAAGCCCTTCGACTTTCATCCAATTGGATGTGTAATTCACAAATTTCCATCTCTACTACCTCTACTTTTCCTCGAGACCATCCACAGCATAGAACAACCTAGTATTTGTCATCTCAAGGGCATCCACGCGCTTTTTCGTATTCCTCTTTTGAGGATCTACGACTTTTGTGGTGTTCGATTGAAATGGATCCATAGCTTTCTTATCGAGGGACGTAAGCCACAATTCTGATACCAACTTTCATAGAGTACCTTTTTTCTGGTACAAAAAGGGACACCGTGCGGTAGTAGTCGTTACGCTAGACTAGCTTCCGCCTATTCTTGATTTTTTCAGGACGAAAGAAAATTTGATTACAATTTATAGAAAGTCTGCAACATAAAATTGAGATGTATTGAAAGTGAATTGATCATTGATTGCTTGAAAGTTAGAAATTACAATTGATGAAAGTAGGAAATTACAATGGCTGGTGTAGGGAGTGAGCACCAGAAAGTTTGAAAGATTGTTTGAAAGACTAATACCTCCTATAATAACTTGCGGAACAAAAATTTAAGTGATAAGAGTAGACGTTTAAATGATGAGGAATCATACTAAACATTTATCAATATCAGAATGTTTTAAATTGAAATAACTATTACAATGGAAAGGAAATTGGAACTCAAACTTGAACTAATATTTACAATGTGCGATTGAAGTTGGGCAAACTGCGATTGCGATTGGATCAATGGGGTTAAGTAAAGTTGTGGTCTTTGACACCTTGACATACAAATATACGAATTTGTTGTAAGAAGTTTTTTGGGGCCGCACACATCCATTCACTTTAATTAACTTGTACTTCAAATCAGTAGTGTGATTCATGTAAAAGAATAAAGGCATGCTTGATGGATTTTTGTGGGAAAGCATTTTCAGTCTGATGTTCATTTATTTATTTTTTTTTTTTTTGGCAATGAAAACAAATTTCATAACCAGTTGTAAAAATTTTTTTCACTTTAATGGACAATTTTTATATAAAATAAAGTCAAACGAATATTAAACTTTGATTTAAAAAAATGATTTTTTAGGAAATATTTTTTTTCGTCTTTTATTTTTTTACTTTTTGGCAATGGAAACAAATTTTATAACCAATTGTGGAAATAATTATCACTTTAATGGACAATTTTCATATAAAATAAAGTCAAACGAACACAAAATTTAAAAATTTTCCAGGTGAAAAATTATAACAATCAAACACACTTATTAAATGTGTGTTTGATGGATATTATTTTGA